GTGGATAAAAGCACATCCTGCTACTGCAGAGGATCTGAGTTTGATTCCCTGGACCCACATTAGACACCTCACACATGCCTGTATTCCATATCCTCTGTCTTCCACAGCCACCTCTACTCGTGTGAACATACACATAATTAAAAATAAATCTTTTTAACAACTTAACTCTGTTTGACACAAGTAAGCATATTTACCATCTGTAACAGAAGTCAGAAGTTCTGTTTGAATATGTTCAATTCTATAAGTCAAATCTGAATTAGCATCACATGAATCTGTTTATTCCTCTCATCTGATTTTATCTATCACAGTGTAAAGTCAGTATAAAATGTGTACAGTTTTAGAATATAACTCAAAATACATTTGCATCTCAGGTAAACAATGAGAAACATAAGTTAACAAGTCAGACTTGGTTGTTCTTCAGTGGATATCTGGTCTATTGGCCTCTAATGGTGTCCAATACAATGCTGCGAGCACGGCTACATCAGGTGATAAGCTCACTAATAGACACATATTTATTTATTTATCCATTCATTCATCTGTCTGTTTGTTTGTTTGCTTGCTTGCTTATTTGAGGAACCACAACATGCAGGCCTTAACTAGATGAGTACTTGCTGTTTTTAGTGAGAATGAAGAGAAAGAACAATTAAAAATATAAATCATTTAAAGTTACAGGCACAATAAGTCCAGACAAAAATCAACTGTAATTATTAAAGAGATCAGTGCTACTATGGAGGAACTTATCATTTTTCACCAGAATGATAGAAATAGTGCCTGAAATGTAAAATACCCCAGGGTATGAACATAGAAGACTCACTAAGAGGAAGGGTTCCTGAGAAAATAGTCTCTTTTGACACTTTTTTTGGGGGGGAAAAAAGGCCATGCTGGGAAGTGTTTTCCTCAATTTAGCCAGTTAGGCATGCAGGAGCCACTCATTGCAGCAGAAATAAAAGGGATTAGGCTACATGGGAAGCTGGCAGCAGAACTCAGTATCATCTGAATAGTGCTCATTGTGAAGACATGGAGAACATAACAGGCCATGGTCATCAGGGCTTGATGTGAGGTTCAGAGAAAGGCTTGGAGTGGCAGGCACTGTACAGCAGAGTCAAAGTCCCCGAGAGCCTTGAGAGGCTGGTGAGAACAGGTAAGGGCAAAGCCTAAGTTACAGTGACAACCACTAGATGTTTGAGATTCTAGGAAGAATAAATATCTGCCAAGGAAAGCTGCAAAGTTTGAAAATTATATATAGTGCAGGCATGTAATAAAAGTAAGGATAGATAGTAGACTCTATTTAAACATAGAAATACCTACTTTTAAATCATAGCATTTCAGGATCCTACACATTGTAACACCTGATGAGTCAGCATTTCTGGAATTAGAACACAGGACTCATCTCAGAAGTTGAAAGACCCATCAAGGCCATGAGGACAAAGACCTTTTAGAGCCTTTCACTACTGAGCAGTTTCTCCTCATGCTCGGCAAGGATCCCACACTCTCTGTTCTGATATTGGAGCATAAAGAATCTTTTGTGATTGTTAATCTGAATCCTCCATTTCAAGTAAAGATATATGAGGACCCTGCGCTTGAAGACGTGTGTAAGAATGGACAGAACTGAGCCTTGCATTTCAGTTTTTTAATCTAAGCTCATGGTATTTTTCTTCAACCAAAGGTGCTTTTTAAAGTCACAAGTTTGAAAGGGTTCACCTATCCTATCGATAACAGGCTTTTCTTCATGAGAAGACATAAGTGCTGATTCTGTCCATAGTTAGGGTTTGTAGGATGCAGCTGAGAGTGTTTGCACTACAGCAACAGGTGCATGATAAACTCTCCATCTGCAGCACGAAAGTAAGCAACAGTGTGTGCATCCAGGAAAAGGACAGGAAACTACTCTGAGTAAAGGTCTTCTTACTATCTAGGGATCGTGATCAGTTCCTTTTTCTGTCAGCTAAAGAACTACAAGACAGCAAAAGTCTTGAGTGCAACACGTGGCAGCAGAAAAGACATAGCAGACAGAATCAACTGATGAAGAATAGCTTGTATTATGACTGCGAGAAAGAGGGGGGAAGGGAGAGAAAGAACACAGAGAAAGACACTGTACAGAGCAGAGAGGAGCATATTCAAGACCCCAAAAGTCTAGTGTTTTACCAAAGGCTGGTATTTAAATATCTCTAAAAGGTTTCCCTCCCCTAATTTATGGTTGGTCAGTTTGAATAAAGACAAGGTAAATGCTTGGCCCAAAGCATTGGCATACACATGTCCGTCCTATCAGGCTTTGAAATTGTTTGGGTCTAGCAGGAGTTAGAGGCCTATTGATGAAGAAACACTTTTCTAGCTCTGTTTGAAATCGCTAAGCTTCACCCATCAGGGTGAAGAAGAAGCCACTGAGCCATCTTGGAAGTTCACCAATTTTGTTAAAATGTGGGCCCTCCCATTATCTGTCTGCTTATCAGTGAATCTATTTAACCTCTGGTCCCTCCTGTAAATGACAACTTTTACTCTTCCATTGTTTATCTCTCATAGTTAAATTTATTATAATTAGAAGCCCTGGGCCTCTACCGTGCTTTCTGGGCTGCTGTAGGACAGCAATGGATGTTTTGTGACTGCAGTTCTCGATGACATTTTCAGCTTCCTAGATGCTTGGGGCCTGACTAGTCTCTTCCTGTAGGCTATTTACCTCTAGAAAGAAACACGGGCTAGAAAGCAGAAGTCAGCATTTATATTTTCCAAGTACATCTCCAAATTATCAAGAACACCTGGCCTCTTCATGCAGCCTCTGAACTTTGATGTCCCTGTTCCCATTACCAGAAGATTGAACTCCCTAGATAGTTATAGATATACAGCCACCAGAACTCCCAGAGTTTATCCATTCTCCCTTTTATCACAGTGGATTAGGCTCTGGACACTGATTTGAAGCATCCTAAAAAGGAAAAGTTAGTTTCTCCTAGCCCTGGCTTTTAACCTAACCAGACAGAGGAAAGCTCAGTTTATACATAAACACACATATTGGGGAAAGTGGCAGGGCTTAAAACCAAGTCTTAAAAGGCAGAAGTACCAGCATCTTGCCATCTATCATCTTGTGTTTGCCACCTCAACTTGATACTTGAACATGGTATGAGATACCTGAGGGTCCAGAGCCAATTCAGAAGAAATTGCGAAGCTATTCCATTCTCTGTCTTGTCCTAGAAAAGATTAAGAGCTAACAGTCTAATTTAATAAGACATGAGTGAGGTAAGAGTTTTCTATAGATCCAAGAAATGCAGAGCTTAGAGTTTTGTTTTGTTGGCTGACTGGTTGTTTCTACTTTTTTTATTTTGTTTAGGTGGCAGGCCCTTTCACAACTCAGGTGTACATGGTCAAAAGACCTGATTCCAGCACTGATATTCACTAAAGGTTGACCTGGGACAGTGGTTCTGAGTTTGTGATCTATCAATGGAGGTAAAAGATGTGTACTTTGCATGTAAAGCCTAGGAAATCTTCATTAAGAGAGTTATATAAAAATGAGAAATTAAGGAATAGTGAGAGAAATTTGTGAAAAAGAATAATTTCAGGGAGGAGAGAGCTGTCTAGAGTCTTTATAGGGGTATGGAAAATATTGCACAAGTGCTGATAAAATTAGATGTAATTGTTTTGGGTTGGTAAGTTTTCTGAGTAATAACAGGCTGAACTAATGGAAGCCCCATATGCTCTATGCATGTCCCAAGTTAGGAGATGATCATGTGATGTTTAGGTACTACCTACCCAAGTAGAAATGGTTAAAGTCTCCCTCTACCCATCTCTGACTTGTGCTTTCTTGAATGCCGACCTTAGCTGCCTCATAGCTTATAATCACTGACTTGTATTGATACTTCTGCTTTTCAGGTGTCTCTAGCACTGGTAAATATATTAAACTTTCTATTCTCATAGACAGCCAGAAAGAACTTTATGAAGTACAGAGACTATTGTGAGACTGTAAAAAATAACTGAATCAAATCACCACAAAATTCAGCAAGGTAGAAACTAATGGGAACCAAAATATACACAGGAACTTTGACACAGGCTCCAAGCAGTACAAAGGATGCTGCCATGAGATAACAGGAACAGCACCAGATTTTTGCACCTGAATCCCTGAGGAAATTCAGAGAGGCATGACCAGATTTGAGACTCCATCTATAGTGCACTTGTCTTGAACCCAGGCTGATAATCTGATCATCCAAATGAAGAGTTCAAATTTTATCTCCCAGCTTCAAAGAAGAAATGTGACTGAGTTCAAACAAGAGGCAGTATTCAGATCAGTGTTGCTCTTAACCTTAGTAAAAGAAGCTTTCTTTTCAGTGAGTTGATGCAGAGATGCACAACCACCCAAGGTTCTGAGAATAAGAGTTGAGTGTCCAAACCTAAAGGGACATCTATATCAGCCTCTACAAAGCTAGGAAAACATCAGAAAGTAAGGGATTGAAAACATGTAAACTCTCAAGGATAAGGAGAATGCTTAAAGTACTGAGAAAATAAACTGTGAGTGCTCCGCTATAGATGAAACACCTCTACTATCTATTTCAGTAAAGCTTAGGGGACACTTTGGAATAACAATAAAAACAAAAACAAAACAAAAAAAGTAAGACCTAGAAGATGGGGAGGAAAGCTTCAAGATACTGCTTTCTTGACATGACAAGGCTGTTTTACACGACTCATAGGACCTGTGGTTACTTGTACCAGACATGGACAAGATCTAGACAGCTTAAAATACAAGAAAGGGAGTGAAAGGGGCTCCTGAAACCTGTTTGCTTGCTGAGGAGCAATGGATAATTGATGACTGTTTGCACAGGAGAGTCATTTTTCTTTAGGAAGGGTTAGGATAACCATGCATCAGTACATGATCCCACACACATAAGCACATGCCAGCACTAACAGTAAGTTATGGGGTGGGGAGGATGAGAAAGAATAGGAGATATGAAGCGTAGAGCACTGTGTATACAAGATGAGATATTTCATAAAGTAAGTATTTTTCATATAGAGCATGCTCTAGTTCAGGCCTTGATGCAGCCCAGTGGGTTTGTGTGCAGGCTGCAAGGGCCTGGGGAGCACTGTGTGTTCACTGCACACAGGTAGACAGCTGAGTCACTGGGCTGGGAGTCTCTGATGTGCAAGGAAACATGCAGGCTGGCTTTATTGAGGTGAACTGTGAATCTGCTGTCTTCCTTTTCACCATTGGAGAAGATGGACATGAGCACCTCAGGGCCTTTCCCAGGACGATGTCTGTACCACCAGAAGTTCAGAGAAGCACTATCACTGAAAGTGCAGTTGAGAGAGGCCATGACTCCCTCTGGGACACTGAGGGATTCTGGGTTCTGCTGCACCTTCTGCTGGCTGCTCACACCTGTGCAGAAAGACAAAGGTCAGACAAATAGGACTGGATGCACATGGATATAGATACCCCAGAAAGCTTTTTCACAGACCTCTCCCTCCCTAACTAGAGATTAAAAACACCTGTGTTTCTACCATTAGCCTGAGTGAGCAACAACTTTATATATCACACCTGTATCCCACAGAAATTCCCAAACTTACAGTCTAACTGAAGCCACAGGACCACGAGGGAAACACCCAAGGATTTCATTCTCTTCCTCCCTCTTCACTGAGCATTCAGATTCTCAGCTCTAAACTCAGAGTCACATTCAAAAGTTCCACATCTCCTGCTTAAGGAAACATGAAAAGCAGCTTTGTTAGCAATCACAACAGTGACTACTTCATCACCTCAGCAGCACCAAGCCTGTCCCCTAGCCCTTTCTCTACCACTCTCCTTCTTCCTGCCCTTCCCCACTTCCCCCTTCTCTCCCACTTGAGAGCTTTGCTCAGGATCCTATGAAAACACTGCCACCTTGTGGGTTCATCATAGTGACCAAAGAAATGTTCAATCTGCAAACTCTTCTAGCCTAATTATTAAAAGGTAAAGCACTTGAGAGTTCAGTAGGTGTTTTTAAGAGACTTGTGTTCCAGGTCAGGGTGGATGGTGAGGTAGTGTGTGCACGCTCAGCACATGTTGTCTCTGTAGCCACCTGTACTGAAAAATCACCTAGGAAATGTCTGCATGGAAATCTGAGTAAGCTTTTTTTCATACATCATAACTCTAACCATTGTCCCTCCAGACACCCTCATACAAATCCATCTTCAAGTTTTACAGATGACTTCACCAGACTATTTATTGAGGCCAGTCCCTAGAAACACCTGGAATTCTTCACTCCATTATATGCCAGGTGCACACTTGTGTCTAAACAGATCTTTACTTCTGTTGACCAGAAGAGATGAACTGTGTTCAGCACCTAAACTCTAAATAACTCGGAAAGTTTTCATTTGTCTAATTTTTCATTCTCCTTTCTTGAGTGAAGTTCTGTTGTGTAGGATTGATCTGTGAAAGTTCTAGTTATGGTTTCTTTCGCCTCTCTTTTTCTGACACAGGCCCCTCTCTCCACTTCTAGCCTTTCTTCTTTCTCTGTTCTTTTCTCTCTTGTTGCTTTTCCCTCCCTTTCCATTTCTAACATAGTCATCAAGCCATGTGTACCAGGGGAATACCTATGACAGTGATGAACTCGGTGACATAGAACCAAGACAGGAAACAGGGTTGGGAGTTATTAGTGTGGTCTCTGGCCACACAGATGGCACAAGTTCACCAGGCTATTCACAACTTCTACTCCCAAACTTGTGGGCAGATACCAGATTATGCATTCCTTCCATTGAAGGAATAACCCTGTGTGACTTACAAAACAGGTTCCCCAATGATATTTATGAGCACAAGGACCTTTGTACCTCCTTCACTTTCCCATAATGGGCTTTGAAACCTTGCAGAAGCTGGTGACTAAAGACCTTTTCCTACTCAAGAGACATGAATCACCATCCACAAAACATGTTTTGATCATGCCCTGCCTTTACCATCAACAAGTGCAAAAGAAACAGAATGAGGGAAAGATGCTCAGACTCAAACTGTTTTTTCCAAGAGTACATTGTCGGTGACAATAATACTACTTATTTCTGTAAATATGAAACTAGAAGAAGGATGTAATCATGCTTATAATCCCAGAAGGGGTTCAGATTTGGGAGGTTGAAGCAAGAGAATGTGAGCTTAAAGTCTGCCTGAGAAATACAGGAAAATTTGTCACAAAATATATAAAGGAGGAGAGACAAGAATGAAGACAACAAGCAAAGTGGCCTAGGTAATTGTCCAAAGAGAAAGGTGAAACTAAATGTGAAGGACAGTTTAGTAAGATACACACCTGCTTATAGCATGAACAATAAAATCCCAGGGGCAGATATAGGGGTTGGAGCTGAAGAACAGAGAAGCAAAATAGTCAGCCTCTACCAATGCTCAGATGGAAGGAGCTATCCACTGAACCTCAAATTGCTTCTCCAAACTGTACTGTACTCCACCAAGACTCAGAAACCTTGACTGCTCTTTGATACTGCACTTTATATACTCACTAGTTCTGGGATTAAAGGCCTGACCTCTGTTTCTCTTTTAGACTGATTCACTCTCATGCCCTAGGTGGCCTTGAACTCACAGAGATCCATTCACCACTATCTCCTGTGTCCTTGGATTAAAGGTGTGTGCCAGCTTCTATGACTATGGCTAGCTTTGTATTCTGATATTCAGTGGCTTTATTATAATATAAACAATATATTGCCACAATTCTCCTATTTTGTCTAATACAAAAAAGAAGGCTACAACTAACGTAAGAAAAGCATATACAGTGAGTACAATAACTATATACAATATATACAAGCAATAAGTTTGTCAACAATGTCTAGTCCATTTGCATTTGACAAATTCAGAGACAACAATAGTCATCTTATCTAAGTGAGTCCAAAGGGTTGTAATTAATTCACTTTCTATTCTAATTTGCATTGTCTTTTAATGTCTCTCAACCTTTTATGCTTTATAACTCTTTAGTGAGCTTCTTTTCTGAATCTGGTAAGCAAGAAAAACTGGAACTATCACTATCTAGTTTTAAACTCCCTCAGAGACCTGTTAAGGAAATAATATTAACTGAGTAACCAGAAAGAGTGAGTAAGTAACTTCTAAAAAATGTGAGAAATGACAAAAACCGATAATTGCCTGGAAATCACCTAAGGTTCCTTTGCAACATTTGGGCATCCATCTTCACCCTATAGGCCTAGTATATCTGACAGACTTTTCTATGAATCAGAATTTATGAAGGACTGTCCACCTTTTCTTGGCACTCTTTTTTGTTTCCTGTTTGTGCAATTTGGACAGTGTACTGTCAGCAGTCAAGGCAAGGGCACTTTCTAGCTCAGTGGCGCCTTTTCCCACAAAGAAAGTGAACATCTTGTAGAGCTTCTTTTATGTCCATCATCTTCTCTGTATTAGATTGGTGCTGCCAGGAGCAGACATGTGTTGTTGTCATGAAAAAGAACCTATGTTATTAAAACATCTTAAGTGCCATATTTTGTAGATCTCTGAAGTGCTTAAAGACAACCTGTCTATCGAAACTATATCTTTTTGACCTTATAAGCATAATATGACTACAAATTTGATTATAATACATAACTAATTAGTAACCTGCATTCTCTATTATCCTATATAGCTGTTCATAATAACTTTCAAGCACTAGAAAATTACATTATATTGTTAAATGGGCTGAATAGGTACAATACCTTGAACAAGATTGGAACTTATGTACAGTGTGTTTTAACAAAGTTAATCTCAAATTTGTATCAATATAAAAAATTTGTATGCAAAAGTCCAATTTGATCTAAAATGCTTAAAACTAGTAGGTGCTTTTTAAAAGTAGATTCAATAATCTATCTTTTATATGATCATATATATATCATTCCTTTATTTTCAGAGTAGAATCAATAATCTACCTTTTTAGCTTATCATATCTGTATTCTCCCTTTTTTCTGATCATTGCCAATAACAAATTGTAACCAATCCCCCCAAAATGAAAAATATCCATAACCCAATGAAAGACCAAAAACAACTTACTCCACCTGTTGGGAATTTGGCTGTTCTTAAAGGTACTTCCTGCAGTCTGGAACACGGGGATCCTGAAAAGAAAAGTTTGGGGTTAATTTTCAAGTCATAGGAGAGGTAGCTCCCATAAATAATGTATTATCCACTCCTTGCATAATGGGAAAGACTGGAAGTTCTCTCAAGTCCTGGCTAGAGTAGTCTGTGAGGCTGGATCATGTCAGGATCATGTCTCGAAATTGTTCTAAGCAGTGTCTGTGAGGCTAAACACCTCTAAATTGTCCTGAGCAGTTTGTATTCTAAACCCAATCTTTAGTTAGAGTGGTTCAGATTAACAGTGTTATCATAGTCATGGTTGAATTGTTGTCTATGGGGTTCCATCTCATTTTTGGAGACTTCAGTGATCACATTAGGTTAGATTATTTTCCTTGGTAATATTTTTTTTTTCTGGGTAATTCTCCCTTCTTCTTTGGATGCTTATTTGTGTAAAGGTCTTTAAATTCCACAAGGTTGTTGGTTTTATTTCCCTGAAAAGACAAAAAAAAAAAAAAAAAAAAAAACAAAAACAAAAAAAAACAAAAAACAAAAAACAAAAAAACAAAAACCAAAAAAAAGCCCTTCCCCCAACCCTAACTTTGGAGAGGTTTGTAATCTAATCTTAATCAAATCTGATTGATGGTTTCTCCTGAAATTTTTGTTCTGTCTTCTAAAGCTCTTCTACCATCCTGAACAGTATGTTTTCTTACAATAGGCATCAGATTTTTAAATTGTTCTGGAAGGAGTTTCCATGATGACAGGAAAGGACTGAGAGTATGATTTGGCTTAGGGGCCTGCAAGAGGCCCCTCAAGGAGCTTCCCCAACAGCAAATTATTGCCTTGAATATCTCATTTTCATCTACACTCATTATTCCAATGGCTACCTTTGTCACACCTTCTACATAATCCAGAAGGGAAGGGAATGCTGTTTGGATTATGCTTAGAAGAAGCATTGTTTTTGAAAATGCCCTATTTACAATCCCTTTTAAAGTGAACCTGTTTGCCAAAATTAAAACACTTGACATTTTGTTTTTTCTTTAAACCTGTTGTAATCACCTTTCCTATCCATGCATCATCATGGTCAAGAACTTCAACATTAATTGTACCTCAGATCCATTCCTCCAAAGGTCTTGACCTTGCCTTTAATGGCCTGATTATCCTTATCATTGAGAAACAGTATTTTCAAAAACCAGATTTTCAGTTGTCATTTTTCTAGCTTCTAAATCTGATAACATTCTATATACTGCTAATGTCAATCTTTGTAAGAAAGCTGTGAAGACTTCCTTTGGGCCATGTATAACTTCAGTAAATAATTCAATTTACTTTCCTACTTCTCCAATTCTGTCCCAAGCCTTCAAAGCTGATGCACAGCATAAAGCCAGGGCAATGTCATCATGTAGAGACTACCTTTCTACAGTACCATAATATCCTTATCTGAGAATTTGATCTTGGGTACCAGGTACCTCATTGTAATTGTGAACCAAGCTCTAAGACAGCATTAAAAAGGTCTATCCAGTCTATAGGGAAAATTATAACATAAACTGACTATGAGTTTAACATTTGCTTCACAAGTGATACATGCATGCTATATGACAGTATTC